GGGGGGAGGGGTATTGAGAATATAGTCATGAATCAGTAATCAGTATTGTATAGCAGTGTTGTATAGTATTTATTCTTGTACTGGTGCTGAGTCAGCACTACCCTTAGTTAGTAATTAGTGGTTAGTTTTACAATAGGTTAATTGTATACATATAGTGAATAGCGTCAGATATTTGGTGGTTGGTCAATGTTCATAATTTCAGTTTAATCAACTTTAACAGCTTCTCATTTCCTCTCTCTTCGAGAAGCTTTGCAACCTCCATTGGAGGTGATTCAGAGCTTTCTTCACTCTCAATCCTGACAGTACATTTTTAATGAAAATTATAAAATAAATACATTATTTGAACCAAAACTACTGAGTTCGGATGAACCTGTAGCCGACATTGTGGCTCCGCCTCTGCATACATGGATACACAGTACCATGCTTAAAGTATATACTCTCCGTTAATGCAAAAGTCAAATATTACTCTTGCCTTTTTACATATGTTATTGGTCAACTGGACCTTACAATTGCAACTGGAACTCAAAAGTCTCTCGCATGACCGATAGCTCATATCCATCCACTTTTAGCAGAAATGTTTGAGGTATGATGACTGTCGCTTATAGTTGTTACTTGTTAGTCAATGAGATGAGAAAAATACAACGTTTTATAGAGCAAAAACATGCATCCAAAAGATGATTGTCAATGTCTTTTGTTATCTCTTTGTCTAAAAGTAAATGAATACCCAAAATGCCAAAACTACAAAAATATGATCTCTTGTATTTATCTTTATTTGGTCATCTTCCTTTTAATTTTTTTTAATACGAGTAGTGTTCAAAGTTCAAACTAGGTCGACCTCACCTCAACTATCCTAGTTGAGACTCAGGATTTGGCAATCGTGGGGCACTATGATATTCAATATAAATTTATCACTACTCATAAAGATTGATATGAGGCCTATGCTAATATCTGACGAATATTTGGAGACATTTATATTTTTTGCGGAAATTTTCGAATGCCGGTAACCCATCAGATTATAGTGTAGGTCCGCCTCTCTATTTGATATATGAGCACAAAACATTAAGCAAATGAAAATTAATTCCTGTTGGAATTTGAATATTGACGTCCACTGGAAATAATTTATAGATCAGACAGTAGAATGCTTTGTTGATCCTCTTATCTTAATCAACTAGTCTGCTAGTCAACGCTCTGTAGCGCAAAATACCCAAAATAAAAATATCATTCCGTCATATATTCACACTCTACTTGTCCTAGTAGCCCTGAATTTTAGCGTCGAAAATGGTAAGTCAATTCCAGCCCATGTTGTTGAATTTAAAAAAATGCATCCCCATGCATTAAATAGGACCAATCCTTGCCTTTGTACTCTAGCTCTCACATTCTCTTTAGCCAACTTGTTTCACAATGGGAACTTACCGGCCAGAATCACCACCGTACCCCGCCGGAGCCGCCGATGACGACGACGAATCACCGATTGAAGAAGTCCGGCTAACGGTGACCAACACCGATGACCCGACTCTACCCGTATGGACATTTAGAATGTGGTTTTTGGGCCTTTTCTCTTGTTGTTTACTCTCTTTTCTCAACCAATTTTTCTCATACCGAACAGAGCCATTAGTCATTACACAAATCACAGTTCAAGTAGCAACTCTTCCAATTGGTCATTTCTTAGCTACCGTTTTGCCAACGACGAAGTTCCGGTTGCCTGGATTTGGATCCAGATCGTTTTCACTGAATCCCGGCCCGTTTAACATGAAAGAGCATGTGCTTATTTCTATATTTGCTAATGCTGGAAGTGCTTTTGGGAATGGTTCAGCTTATGCCGTTGGAATTGTGACCATTATCAAAGCTTTTTATCATAGGAATATATCATTTTTAGCTGGTTGGCTTCTTATTATTACTACTCAGGTAAGAATTTTCACATTATCTAATATCTATATATTATTATGTGACATGCAAAAAGTTTAACTAATATACTCTTGACGGGTTAAATTACCCGAATAGTGTTAAAATTGTTAGTATATCATGAGCTCATATTAAATGGGAAGTGTAACCATTTACGTAAAGATTATTAGGGGAGAAATTCAAAAATAGTCAGATTTACAAGTGGTCGTTCAAAATAGCCCAGTTTCAAAAGTAATCGAAATTTAGCCACTTTTCATGTAAAGATAAATCTGAACGAAAACACTTTTCAAAATCTGAAAAAATACTCCAGCATAATATACTGGAGTTCTAGTATAATATACCAGTCCAACATAATATACTGGAGTTTGGAGCACCGGTGCTCCAGTCTCTAATATATTATAGTGGAGCCAACACAGTATACCGGTCCAGCATAATATGCTGGAAGTTCATACACAGGTGCACCGAACTCCAGTATATTATGCTGGACCGGTCTCTGTTGTAGCAAAATAGTGGCTATTTTCCATTGACTTGGTAAATACTGGCTATTTTTAAATGACCAGTCCGAAAACTGGCTAAACATTGCTATTTTTACGATTATAGTGAGTTCGTAATTTGTCGTTTTGCAGGTTTTGGGATATGGTTGGGCTGGGCTTTTAAGGAAGTACGTAGTAGAGCCCGCGCACATGTGGTGGCCCAGTACTCTGGTTCAAGTTTCACTTTTCAGGTAACGTGCAATTATATGCCAGAAATTATTTATATTCAGTAGTCGAAAAAATATATAAAATTTGTATAACTTTTGTATATAACATATAAAATGTATATATATACAAAAAATATATATATATTTTTTTTGGTTACTTTGAGAGCGTCATTTTCCCATTTATGATTTGATAAGTTCCATTTTGTACTACTTTGCCGTTTTGGGGTACTTCTGAAGCAGTAGAACAAGATTAGTTCAATAGATTAATTAGTCCTCAAGTGTAGGAGAACAGCTCTTTTAATCTAATAGAGACTACTTGTTTATTGGCATCTCAAATTAATTTATTCACTATACCTTTTTTCTTGTGAAGTCGTGCTTCCATCCCAAACTATTTGATCCCTCTCCCTTGCGCAAAAAAATCTCGTTCACAATGATCTATAACAATTCTATATGAACTAATAGCTCAACTCAAAATTTTCTTAGATCTACTCTATTTACAAAGGTTATTATCTAGATAAAGGGAGTAGCTGATTCTACATTTGTTATACCATGTGCTATCAATACTTTAAAAAACACAACTCTCAAGGAAAATGATCAATAATTATTTTTTATTTAAATAAGACAGATGATGGACAGCATATGGTTCCCTAGTAGTAAGACCCTAATAGCCTAATAGATCTTGCCGACGGCCGACCCCAAGTGTCATGGAACTCAAAACAACGGCACACACCGAATTTTTTTGCTTTTCCTCCGGAAACAATATAAATATTTATGTTCTTCCTCAATGTCTATTCAAAACAATTTAATAAATTTTGGATCCGCAACAACTTATAATTCTTTGCACAAGTAGCATAATGCAACATATGAGAACACATCCCCATAAATGCATTTTGGTCCCTCAATTATTCATAAAGTTTATTTTTGATCCTTGAGATATTTAAACAACACAATTAATCTTCGTTAATCAAAATGTGCTTTATAAACTCTTTATGTAGGGGATATGTTTCAGACAATTTTTTAGAATTATATTACGCTCATATATGGAGTAATATTATTTAACATAACACGTGGATAGCTAAATGGTAACAGTTGGAATAATATATTTCTTAAATTTGTGGAGATTCATAAGCGGAAGGATATACACATTCCAATCAATTGAAGATTATATTTGCTTGACAAGACATATAGCACAAGATCAACATTGAAATTCGTCAATAATTGAGGGACAAAATACAAAATATTTGCTGGCCCTGTAAAATTACACGTGAATACGTGATAACAAGATAGCTAAAGAGTCTTTTCCAGGTAGAGTATTATAATCAACCACAATCACCACACTTGCAACGTATCAGAAAAACCAGAATCTGAGAATAACTGATGGATGACAAACCAAACAGGAAACAACTTACAGGCTACTAAGAAAAGGGGGTGGCGCATGTCAAAGAGAGAATTTTACATTTGTACATTGAATATTTTCATAGTATTCACAGTTGGCTGTTAGTAGAATCAAACTTTTTCACAATGTGTTCGATTTACAAACCTATGCATACTGAAAATTTTGCATGATAATATTTCAATAGTGGGAAGGAACTTATGATGTAATCTGAAGCCATCCCTTTACCTTCGCTGTTGAGCGCCATTCGATAACCAAGATGGTCCACCTGCTGACATCTCTAAGCTGAATTAGAAGATTAAAATAGGCTCCCAAATTCAAGTCATTACAGTCCAATTTAGCTCTAGTCTAACTCCATCTACTTTGCATTGGAGCAAAGCACATTGATTCCCTTAATGGTATAGCACATATTTAGCAATGACCTGATTAGTGTCATCGAAATGCCACAACCAGTCCAAAATCCTACCTGAATCATAAAACCAAGTCAAACATCTGCAAGTTTCACAAACTCATCTTCTTGATAAATATCATGCAAAAGAAACAAGAACACAGCCTTTCTTTTTGTAGGATGGATTATTGGCAAACCATTGTTTCACAGTCACACTTCTACAGTTAAAGCTATAAGAATCTCCCACTTGGCTGTAAGTTTTTTCTTTTCTTTTTGTGATAAAGTACTCGCACATGCATGTAACTTAGTTTCTATCTACTGCTTATCGTGACAATAGCTGGAAAAGAATGTCTAGTATCTCTCTTCCCTTCACCCTCTTCCCAGGAATTCCTGACCAGACGAATCACAAATCCAATTTTTATTTTAAATTTCCCATAATCATTTCGTAAGTTTCTATTCAACAACTTCATCTCAATCCCAAGCAAGTTAAGGTTGGCTATATGCATCTTCATTATAAGTTTTCTATTACTATTTCAAATTTTCTCGTTCATTTCAAGCTATCTGATGGTTGAAAAGCTTTTCTCCAGCTGTGCTCTCATATAAAACAACTGAGATGCTTTTCTTTCTCAAACGGATCAAAGGTGCAGAAAATCATTAACACAGATTGATCTTTGCAGGGCCTTGCATGAGAAAGATGATCGGCGCATGTCACGAGCAAAATTTTTCCTCATTGCATTAGTATGCAGCTTTTGCTGGTATCTAGTACCAGGATATCTCTTCTCAACGCTCACGAGCATCTCATGGATCTGCTGGGCATTCTCCAAATCAGTGACAGCTCAGCAAATTGGATCAGGCATGAGGGGCCTTGGACTTGGAGCTATAACCCTGGATTGGTCTGCTGTGGCATCCTTCTTGTTCAGCCCCCTCATCTGCCCTTTCTTTGCCATTGTCAATGTCTTTGCAGGGTACATGTTGATAATATACATGGTGATCCCAATAGCATATTGGGGGTTTGACTTGTATGGTGCTCGAAAATTTCCCATTTTCTCGTCACACTTATTCACAGCACAAGGTCAGAAGTACGATATATCAGCCATCGTGAATGACAAGTTTGAGCTAGATATAGGAAAGTATGAGGAGCAAGGGAGAATACATATAAGCATGTTCTTTGCTCTCACTTACGGTTTTGGTTTTGCTACTATAGCATCCACTCTTACACACGTGGCATTGTTCTACGGAAGGTAAAACACACGCTAACTATATCAAGACACAGTACTACTATTTTGTCAAATTTGCTCCTTATGTTTTACGACCTAGAGCCCAGACAAGGAAATTAAAATATACAAGTAATTTTTTAAATGAAATATACATGTTTTATCATCCCAAAAGTTGATTTGTCAGTCTATTTTAACCTTGTCCAAACTTTTGACACCTCAACTGCTACATATTTACGGCTGTTTAGCAGCAACTTCCATAAATAAATGGAACTATGAATATGGATGAGAATTATTTGTTAATAACTACAAAAGTCGTGGTAAAGGATTGTCTTTATTGTCTACTTGCAATGTGTAGGGAAATCTATGAAAGATTCCGTGCTTCATACAAGGGAAAGGAGGATATTCACACAAGACTTATGAGGAAATACAAAGACATACCTTCTTGGTGGTTTAATGCATTGCTTCTGGTGACGCTCACAGTCTCCCTAATCCTCTGCATTTTCTTGAATAACCAAGTTCAGATGCCATGGTGGGGGCTTCTATTTGCAAGTGCTATTGCTTTTATCTTCACGCTTCCAATCAGCATCATAACAGCTACAACAAATCAGGTGATAAATCACACACATTCAAACCTATATTTAGACCAACAAGCATGTCTTGCCTATCCGATTGATTAGCATGCTTGAACTGCTAGTCTGTTATCCTGCAAAAGCTATTTACATCAACCTTCAAAAGAAATCTTACTGTAGATTTGTTGGAGCTTATAGAAGCTGTAAACACCACTAAACGACTAACATTCGCTCTTTGTTTAACATACCAATATGCCACAATCAGAATCTGATACCTTAAAACTAATTGGATTTATTACAAGAAGAAATCCAAGATCATCACCCTTGTTATTTCAATAGAGCTCTTTCCAAGCTTCTTATTTATGATGCTAATTTGCAGACCCCAGGCTTGAACATAATCACTGAATATGTCATGGGAATTATACTACCAGGAAGACCAATAGCCAATGTGTGCTTCAAAGTCTATGGGTACATGAGTATGTCACAGGCTGTCTCTTTCCTCAGCGACTTCAAACTCGGCCACTACATGAAGATCCCACCTCGATCAATGTTCTTGGTTCAGGTAGATTCGCTTTACTGTTTCTGCCAATAAATTGGAAATACATCAGTGATTTACTCAGAGCTTCTGGTATACAGTAGAGATTAGCACTAGCATTTTCCTAGGTAGAGAAGCCACAATGGAGAAGCTTCTCGATGTCTTAAAAAAAGCACGGAAAGCACCAAAGAACATTTACCTCACTTTTTAGTAGATTTTACCCCAATCAGATGCATGCTAAGTTATGTGTGCAATGCTCATTAAAAGCAGCTATAAAGGGTAGAATCAATAGAGCATACAAGTAAAACAAGTAATACAAAGTTAGGATTTCATAATCTATCAACATGCACAAGAATTTAGCAGTTTATCTCTTTCATCTGGAAGTATTAAGACACGTTACTTAACAGGCTTAGTTGATGTTTTCCAGCAACTAGAATAGCAGTGTTCCACAGTAAATTCCAGAATAAAAGAATATTTTTCATTCTTGTACGTTAAATTTCAGTTTTTAGGAACAATAATTTCCGGAACTATCAACATATCTGTGGCGTGGTGGCTGCTAAACTCCATCGAGAACATATGTCAAGATGATCTCCTCCCACCAGACAGTCCATGGACATGCCCAGGAGATCGTGTGTTTTTTGATGCATCAGTTATCTGGGGTTTGGTCGGACCAAAAAGGATTTTTGGATCTCTTGGGAACTACAGCTCCATGAACTGGTTCTTCCTCGGAGGCGCAGTAGGACCTGTTATAGTGTGGCTCTTGCATAAAGTATTTCCAACAAAATCATGGATTCCCCTGATTAACCTTCCAGTTCTTCTGGGAGCAACAGGTGCCATGCCACCAGCAACACCATTAAATTATAACGCATGGGTAATAGTCGGCACAATTTTCAACTTCTTCATATTCCGCTACCGAAAGCAATGGTGGCAAAGATACAACTATATCCTATCCGCGGCGCTGGATGCAGGAGTAGCTTTCATGGCAGTCCTACTATATTTCTCATTGGGAATGGAGAATAAAGGACTGACTTGGTGGGGTACCAATGGGGAACACTGCGAATTGGCAACTTGTCCCACAGCCAAAGGCATAGCTGTTGATGGGTGTCCAGCTAGATAACTGGATATATTTAGAACAATTTATATGTATTTAAGGGCCCAAAATTATCTCTATCTTCTCTTAAATAGTATTCAGAAGTTACACGCCTAGATCTGGAAAATCATCATCACTTTAATGCATGTTCAGGTTCTCTGTACTATTTCTCGCACCTAAATTCTCTCTTGTAAGTAATGACATACATTCTCGGAGAAAAAAGACGGTCACACTCTTCTAATATATTCAACTGCAGTCGCATTTGCCATGGAAGAAATTAAATGGTTCCCCCTATGGCTTCTCCACTTTTGGTTATAGAAAAGAAATTCACACACTTGCGATCCGCAAGATACTCTCTGAGTCTGAAAGCCATTACACACCCATCAGTTTGAAGTTGAAAGAGGAACACTACACGGTAATACTTTCATGTGAGGGAGCTACCACAAGCAACTCAAAATTCACTAACAAGGTTTTACTGAAAGCAATTATGAATCCATTACTCTAAAGTAGAGGAACAACTACCAGATGCATATAGACAGCCCTGTGCTACCAAACATTATTTGGCAGCTCATTCCAACCATTAAAGGGCAGGATGATACAGCACTAATAGGTAAGAATGGAAATCCTTTTAAGTGTGAGATGAAGACAACACTATTTTTATTTCTTTGATAATTCCATGATTTCAACAGGTATGGAAAAGCCTAAGCAAAATGATTACACTGAGAGTGCATCTATCTCAAATAAACATTTAAAAGGAATGCCAACTGATACCAAGATTATTCATAGAATCTTAACTATGAAGAGGATGGGAATTCATATTGTACCCCACTCAAGATGAATGCACTGCGAGCCACTGGTTATACTCATCCATCCGAATTATAAATGAGCTGGAACTAGGAGAACCACCTCCACCATATGCCTGCATGTTAAAGAAGCAAATCATTTGTGGGTATGAAAGGTAAAGAGTACGAGACTGTGTTTGTATGTGGGAGGGTGGCCGGGAAGAGCATAGCTGGTAGAATAATTTTCACAGTTAGTATAAGGAGTCGCTGTCTCGCTTAGTGGTGAGGAATATTTTCAAGATGAAGAGAAGTGAATCATGATGCACACCTTGGCAACCTCTGAAGTATCAGTAGCAGCATCTACAGTCCTCAGGCACATCTTGAGATTCTTCCGCTGAAGGTATATGACTGCTCCTATAGGCCTGGTGTATACTTAGATTTAAAGTAAATGCAGCTGTTCTATGTACAAATTGAGGTAAAAGCATCAAATAACCTCAGATATGCTCTCTTCAAATAAATAGTCATGAATGTGGATCAGAAGCTTTTAACTTTTGACTGAACTTGAGATCTTTCTGGTTGGAAAACAAAGTTAAAAGGTCTCGCTGCCCATGCACCACGTTAAAGAAAAGAAAAAGATAAATAAACATAGAAACCTGAGTCCAGCTAAGGCACTTTTCTTGCTCAGTTCCTTGCCAATTTCATCACTTAAGTCTGAATTTCCATCAGCTCTAATCCCCTAAAAGATAAAACAGAATTTAGATACTCAACTTAGTCATCTAGAGAAAGGGAAACAAAAATTACAATTATAAACGAAATAGATGTAATATTGCTAAGCATGAATAACCTGGAATATGGAACACCTATAGAAGATTGAAACAAGTCAAGCAGACAACTGTACAACATGTTATGAAGAGCTGAAACAAAGTATTCTAAACCCTGACATACATTCAGCTGTGCTCTCATGGACTTCATAGTATATTGATTGTTATGGATTTTGCCAACATAAAGAAAACGTCATAAAGAATTATTCTTTACCAAGCATTCACCATAAAGTCCTCTCCCCAGCCGAATTTTGAAAAACTTATCCAGCAACTTCTGTGCAGCAGCCAGTCTCTTTGAAATATGGGAGTTACCATTAGCAATCAAATCGCCAGTGGTAATCCCCATTAGCTGTTTTAGGAAGTAAAATAAAATTATTACTGTTATACTTTACTGAGGAAAGACATATTATGGGAACAGGAATGCAACATGAATTTATCTAGTTCATTCTCTATCTGTGCAATAAAACAGAAAATCTACATAGCATCAAATGCGTACTTTACTATCTCCGGTAAAAGAAAAGGAAAAGTGGAAAGCTTATTATACCAAAAGAGACTACTGCATTGCACATATTGCTTTGAAAAAGGCCCTTTGGAAAAGCGAAATGTATGCAACCCTCATCAAATATGGCTCTGGGAGTACAGCCATGAAAAATTGATTACCTCCTTGATATCATTTTGCAAGGGAAAAGAGACATACATCTAAGTTTAACCGGAAGGTATTATCCACAGGCGAACTTTAATCGCAAAGATTTACAGCTGTTTAAGCAAATTTGTATCTCTTAGTTGTTGCACGTTTCACTCCAGAAAGAGAATTAACTGCGAACCTGTTCATACATATGTGGATTAGTGATGCAGTTTAGTTTTGAACGCCACTGGCTGATTCCAATCCCAAAGGCTGTAATATCAGGCAAACTCCACCTGCAAAGATCTCCATCCTCAATATATTTCAGAACATTTTTAACTTGATCTTGAAAAGTATAGTTTAGCAAGCTGACAGCATCACCCTCCTGTGCATTAAACAAACAATATATCACCACTTTAGGAGCTAATCGCTTTGAAAAACAATCTAGCCTAAAATAAGTATTGTCAGGGAGCACACAATAGAATGTACCTTATTGGATCCAACCTCTGAAAGCCTAGAAGAGAAATGTTCATAGACAGCAATAGAACTAGATTTCTCGAGGTTGACATGAAATGCAAGACTCCCATCAGAACTTTGATTCAAAGGGAGCTCCAAAAGTGCCGACTTCCGGTGATCAAACCCTACTATCCTAATTAAAATTTAAAAAATAAATCACTTCATAGCCCGTCTCCAACTTCCAGAACCACTATCAAAGTCAAAACCAACAGCCCAGCTACTCAGCTAGCATCTGAAGAAATCTGTATTTATTAGAAAAAGAAAAAGAAACTAACTGGCATGAGGTCCGGCGAGCAAGCTCCACTGCAAATCCTTTAGGACCAACAAAATCAAGAAAATAGCAATTCTGCAGCCCGTCAATACACAAGTCTTCAACTCTATCAAAAAAGAATTACAAACAAAGGACAAAATTACATGACGTGTTGAAATAAATAATAAAAGGAGACTCCTGGGCAAAATTACAGATTCTATTATTCTTTTAAACTATGAGCAAAAGCAAACTCCTGCTATTACTTCAGTAATTAAACCTGCCTGCAATGCAAATGACCTAGACAAAATAGCTTAGCTCAATTAACCAAACTCAATCAAGAATTAGTTAGGATTGATTATATGATT